AATGGCCACCTAAGCATCCAACTGTTAAAAAAGATTCCACGGTGTTTAAAAAGTCAAACTTAACAAGCAGTTAACGAAATGATGATGTCACATGACGTAGCACGTCAAATAATGAGTTATTTGTCTAAGTCGAAAACTTTGTGAGTGGATTTGTCCCCGTTTTTTGTTCGGATGTGGATCCGTCCCTGTCCCTATAATTGAGGGGCGGATTTGGGTATTTTGCCAAAAACAATTACGATAATTTTATGTAAAATGTATATGTAACCTAATATACATGTCCACATATTTTTTTGACAAAATAGAGTTTTAAATTATTTAAATATATTAATAAATAATGTAATTATATTAATTAATGTGTCAAGTGTTAAATAAAATTTAATAGATTAAACAAAGGCAAAAGCCCCTATTTGCACCCTCTATTTATTTTTTTTTCACGGTCAACACCTTCTAGAATTTTTCCTCTCTATTCACACCCTCAATTTTTCAAAACCCGTAAAAAACCCAACATTTTAATGCGCCGTCACGGTACCGTTACAAAATATGACGTGGCCACTTTGTGCCGTTAATAATCCAATGTGGATGCCTTTTTTTGATGATGTGGCTTGACATGGCATAATTTTTATGTGAAAATTCCCCCCCCAAAAAAAAAAAAGGACCTCTGGGTTCCTCCGGAGGAACCCAACTTTGGGTTCCTCGTCATGAGGAACTGGGTTCCTCCCGAGGAACCCGAGCTGGGTTCCTTTGGAGGAACCAGAGCTCCTGTTCTTTTTTCTTTTTTTTTTTTTTTTGAGTATATCAAAAGCTAATTGTTTGGAATGGTAAAAAATTTAAACTCATGATTTTGCTCTCAAATTAAAATTTTTTTAAGTTAGTAATACTAACTCAGCTGAGGATTTATTTGCGTAAATTAAAGCTGATGTACGCTATAGTCTTTTTTTTTCCTTATTTTGTTTTATTCCGTGGTCATATTTCGGCTTGTTTATCATTGACTATTACTAATCACATGCATAATTAGTCAATCCAAATGCCTGTTTAGTGTTTAATAAAGGTTGCCTCAGTCAGCACTGATTACTTGTGAGATTTTTTTATTATTTTGTAAAGATTTCCCTCTAGCTAAGTTCATAGTTAGATTAATCATATGGCATCATCCTTCTTCTTTGATGGCTTTGTTTTAACTTTTAGGCCATCTCTTTTTCTCCACACACCTGACGTCTATACTTTGAATTCAGATCATCTTGAATCATTCTAAAAGATGAGTTGAATTGCATTTTTTTTTCTTTTTTGAACATATGGGAATTTTGGAGAATGAGAATTTTTTTTTTAAATTGTTAGTTATAGTTGAATTCCTGATAAACTAAATTCAAAACAGTAAAATTTGAGAACAAACCATTAAATCCGAGGTTTCGGTTCAAGTTGAATTGCATTTTACATTATCACAAGAAAAGGTGATTGTATTCTTCTAACAAAAAAATGTGCTCGGTAAGGTACAGACTGCCAATATCATCTAGTGCGAACAATTTTACTGGGTTGCGCTCTGCCACCTCGAGTAGAAGAAATTTATCCAATATCTGCTTACAGGGAGATTTATATGTACCACGAGACTAATCAAGTTTTTATTTAGGCCAATAATTCTACATAATGTTGATGGCAAGAAACATTCTCAGTACGCATAGAATACAACATATTAAACATAATTTAAGGATCCTTATCTGCGTTATCGTCTACGTGCTAAAAGCCACATAGACCTTATGCGAAGCTAAGTTTCTCTCAATCTCTTATAAACCCTGAAATCTGAGTTAAGATTTTACATCAGGAAGTACTTCATACAAAGTTTATCTCAAGCTCATGTCAGGGTCATCTTCATCATCAAAATCGGGTTCTCCAGATTGTCTAATTCTCCTTCCATCTTTTGGTGTTGTCATGGTTCTTCCCTTCTTTGGCTTCCCTCTAAAGAAAAAGGGTTTTCCATTATGAACTGATACATATTTATGAACTGCATGGAAAACTTCAATAATTAAGATGGAAAAGGGCACTTACTGGCCATTGGCAGGTAAAGCTCCAGCCTTAGGACGACCTGGACCAAAATCAGTTCTTCCATCTGCAATAAACAGAGACGATAAAAATAATGAATGCTAAATCTTTGTTTTTCTTTTCTTTTTCTTTCCTTAGAATGAAAAAACATTAGTAAAATGATGAATCAGGGTTTACCATCTTGTCGAAGTCCAAGTTCTTCAGCCTGAAGATAAAGAAGCAAAGTGAACAAACCACTCTTGTTAAATCTGAATAACTATCTGAACTACATGTACTTTTGAGACACAGCCTTGTCATGACCATTTTGCACTAGTGTTTTCTGCTAGAGAAAACGAAATAAGAAGGTGCAGCACAAACATGGTGAGGCCAGATAAACTGATGACAATTGAAATAGTTTTAATTATAAAGATTCTAACTCCCCTTATCACCATATGCAAATATTGGTTTCTTTTGAGGCAACATAAATCACCATTAGCTAGAGAAAAGATTTATTTGGCACATGTAACAGGTAGCATATGTTAGCTTAAGGCAATGAAAAATAATAAGCCTTAGAGACATCAACAAGCCACAAGTGGATCAAATGGCGATAGACAGTGCTGACATAACATTCTGGAATATTCAAGGATATGCTCTTATTTAAAGAATATATGAGCATAGATTCTCAAAATCCAAAGAAAATGAGGTTTAGCGTTCATAATAGTTTATGATCAAAATAAGTAACCAGCATTTAGTAGACTCATTAATACTCGAGGTAGCTACATAGTGAGGTGAGATCTCAAGAAATTACTTAGTTTCCCAGAAAAGGAGTAAACAAAGAACAGCCTTCATTTAAGAAAATCGACACTAGTAACTCAACTCAAAGCCTTAAATTCCAATGCCTCAAAAAGGAGATTTCTGATATTTACAAAAGTGATATTTGTGCATTGTGTTATAAAAATGATATCATCAGATACAATTGTAATAACAAGTTATATTTGTGATGGAAAAATCTAGCTTTAATCATATGCTAAGATACTCTGTCACAGGTGTTCATCACTAGTTCAAAAGTCCTAGAGGTACTTACCATAATTTAACATGTGAAAAACAAACTAAATTTAAGTTCCTGATACTTAGAGAAGGAAAGTGAATTGAAGATATGACCAGATAAACTAGTCAAGTAACTAGTTTGAACAGGATAATAAACAAACAAAAAGGAAAACAGAAAAAGGAAGATGCAAGAAGGTAGAAAGATACTATTACACAGCAGTGAAACTTGGAAGTCAGAACATACTGCTGGTGAGGTAACAGATGACAAGGAGAAGAGTCTGTCTTCTGGCTGAAATTTCCTGGACCTCTTTAGGCTACAAAATAATTTAGATGAATCTTCTGTTAAAAAAAAGGAGTGAAAATTTTGGTAACAAACAACACAGTACTCAATAGGAATCTTTACCAATTATAGAATCTGGTAAGATCCCAATATATTAACTAACTTTTATATAACTTTGTTTAACAATTTCCTATTGAATAAAGAGCTTGGTAGGAATTATGCAAATGAGGAATGAAGTTTATATTAAGCCTTGATTTTAAGGATTCAGTCAAATAACATTCTAGGAATAGAGAGAATAATCAAGTTGTAAACTTTGAACAGAGATTAAGAAATGAGACTAATTATTAGACACCAGTATTAATGGCAGCAAGGAAATGAACTTAGGGTTGGATGGTTCTGAAGTGAGAACAATTAAATAGTTAGATCTTAGGCAGTTGGTTGGTTTCATAGCTAGATGAGAAGTAAGTTTCTGACACGACAATCTTCTCCTTCTTCCTCTTCTCTGTTTCTTTCCATTCCATTAATTCCATATAACTTCCATATTAGCCTCTATCAGTATCACATAACTCCATCTAAGGCTTCATAAGTTATTTCTTTGTATCAAAACATAAGACATTTTTATGCAATATAAATGTTTTTCTTTTTAAACTGCAATTTAGAAATATTTTACAATGACCACTAATTCACTTAAAACCTAATAGACTCCAAAAATAGATACAAAATTAAGAAACATGGGTAGAAAGTTTACTTTGTTGTGTTCTTGGACGAAGAAAGAAACCCTTCGAATCCTTTCAATGCATTCCCAAAATGGCTTGAATCTTGCAAATAGTTTGTCTCCAATTCATACACCTACAACATTCAAAACAACTCAATATTCGGAAAACAGCATATAGAAACACAGGCTCATAAACATTAAAAGATTAAAAGTAAATGAACAATTTAAGACAGACAATATAGTACTAATCTCATAAACATGTGATTTTTCAATACCTATTGTTATCTTATATATATGAATCCAGCATGTTCTAGCACTAGTATTCTACTCATTTTCTTCCCTTTCCTCAGTCAACCAAATATATAAAAAATTACCTGCTTTTCTATGCTGCGGAGCTCTACTTGGATCTTTTCTCTCTTGCTCATGAGAGAAGCCAGCATGGCTGCAGGATTAGCAGACCCTCGTTGCCCTAAAGACATCTCAGATGTCCAAGCTCAAAGATAACAACTTTCGATTTGGTTCCCAACCGAGAAAGAAAGACAGAAACAAAGGTTTCTGAGAAGACGAAGTGAATTGAAGCGGAAAGAAAAATCAGGGGTTCAACGGCTGCCTCAGGACTCCATCTTGCCGCGGAATTTGAAATTCCAGGAAAGTTGAGAATTTGGGGAAAACCCCCCTTTTATCCAGATAGAATTGAAGAAAAAAATGCTTCCAGAAGAGGAGAAACGATGAGCTTCTGTGGTGAAGCGCTAGCTGCCACCTGCTTCCTAGGGCATGGACCGTACAGGCTTGAAGGAGGTCGGAAGAAATTTGGTAGTAATTGTGATGATAATATTAGGGAAAACTCAAAGTTAGTCCTCAACTTATTTTCCATTGACAATGAAGCCCCAAGAGTTATTCCTCTAATCAATTATTTTAAAAATTTACTACCCTATTTATACATCAACAAATTATGAAATATTTAAAATTTAGTTCCATTCTATATATAAAAGAAGGGGTTTTTTTTTTTTTTAATGTAATGTTGTTTTGTCTTTTAAGAAAGGGTATAAAATCATATAAGTTAATGCTTAAATTAAGCTGATCCAAAATCACTTTAATTGTTAAAATAGAGAGAGAGAGAGAGAAAAAAGAGAGTTTTCCTTCATTTCCTACCATTAATTCTTTAGCTTCCATATAGGTCCATATAAGTTTTTCTTAGCATAGATTGTACTTGATTCTAGCATGAGTTTATTTGCCTAAGTTTTTGAAGTGGTGAATGGTAATTTCTAGAATTGGCCCCCTACTTGCTCTCCACAACATAAGCAAACACAGATAGGCCTTTTTGACACTCCATACCTAAAATGTGGGGAAAAATATTCAATTGTTTGGATAGTGTAAACTTCTGAGGTGTTTAAAACAAGTAGTGCATGGCATTCCCTATGTGAAAAGTAGGCAAAGATACCATGGCATAGATTAGTATGGTTTTCTCATGTAGTCCTTAAGCATAGTTTCATTTGTTTGCTAGTAGTCTTAAATAGGTTATCAATAAGAAGTAGACAAAGGAAATAGACTCCTAGTATTGATGATGCTTGCTTGTTATGCAAAGTAGGAGCAAAAAAAAAAAAATGATCATCTGTTTTTTCAATGCTAGTTTATTAGACAAATATGGCAAGCTATTTGTGATATGGAAGGATCCCCTTTTTCAGTTCTTGGCAAAGTCTATTGGCTTGAATTGGGAAGCAAATAAAGAGAAAGTCCTTGTATTGTGTCCTCATTAAACTTGCATGGAATGCCACAGTGTATTATGTCTAGAAAGACAAGAATAGCAGAATCCATAGGCACCACTCTCATTTTGTCTTGCAAATTGTCAATGATATTCATTTTGATGTTAGGAATAGAGTTTTGGGCTTTGTAAAGCCAAGGTTTTCCTCATTACCCATGTCTATAGTAGTACAATAAGGGTTAGAAGAAATTTCATAAATGCAAGTTTAATTCTAGTTGTTGGGAATTTTTCTCTAATTATATTTGTAATTGATTATAACTGCTGTTGCTTCTTGAGTGTATAGATCAATTTATCAAATAAATAAAATTTTTACATTTTATCAAAAAAAAAAAAAGAGGAGTTTTTCTTGGCAAAAATCCCATGTAGCCAAAACCTCAAAACCTCATTCTTTATAATGTTATATTTCTTTATAGGATAATGATAGGTTTACTCTCATTATCCACACACTCTATTATCATCTTCCCTTTCTCCTACTTGTTGTTTGCCATCCTCACCAACCAGACCAAAGCCTACAATTTCATCTTGGTTCTTTGATTTTCAACCTTATTTTCCCTCCTCCTCATTTCTTTTTCTTCTTCTTCCCTCTACTTCCCTCTTTTTCCTTCTCCCAAATCTGGGTTCTCCAAGAGAACCCCGTGGGTTCTTGGAAAGAGAACCCACGGGTTCTCCTGGAGGAGGATGATGGAGGAGAGAGGGAGAGAGAGAGAGAAAAAAAAAAAAGAGGAAGAAAGAAAGAGGAAGAAGATAATGGATGAAGAGGATGAGGATGGAGGTGAGGATGGATCTGGCTAGTAAGGATGGTAAATAGCCAGAAGGAGAAAGGAAAGATGGTAACGGAGTTAAGGTACAATTAACGGAAAGTAATGAAAATTGAAAGATGTAATGGAGTATGTAGATAATAAGAGTAAACATATCATTATCTTTCTTTATATAAAAATTTGGATAACTTACATATTTTTTTCCTGTTGACATTTGGATAACTTACATTCAAAATACTATACTCTTTCTATGAAAAAAATACTATATTCTTTTTAAAAAAAGTCTAAAAAATATTGTGGGATTATGTGTATATTCTTTTTCTTTTTCCCCTTTTCCTTTCATTTGTGTTAAATTTTTTCCAGTTGATTTTAACGGAAAGGGTTAAAGCCAACTACAGTCCCTAAGTTTTGTTTATTGTCCTCTCCATGCTTTAAAATCATCCAATGACCTTCCTTTGCCCTTCCAAAACGTACTACCATCCTTCGATTACTTTAAGTTTTTGTAATACTTAACTCTCTCCCCAAGCACCCAACTATTACTAATGATTGTCTAAGGGATTTTTTTTTAAATTTTTTGCTATTAAACTTCAACTCATCCATTAATTTATTATGTTTTTTGTTGAATTTTAGTTGGTGAGTCCCACTAATTCTATGATAGCAACCCAGTCTAGGCGCACTAGTTTGGTGTCAACACCTACATTGTGGTATCAATGCCATGCGTTAAGTCATTAAAAAACAACTCTAAATGTAATAAATTAAAGTGCCAATACTTACATTATGGTGTCGACACTAAATGCCCTTTTAACTTTAAAATTTTTTATTTTTGTCATGGGTCTTCCTTCTTTTTATTTTTTTAATAGCTTTTCTTAAATTCTATAAATATTCATTCCAAACTAAACTTGGGGGCTTTATGAAAGAGATAAAGAAAGAGATAGCTAAGAGAAACTTAACATTAAAAGAAGATCAAGCTTGAGATTTTATATTATCAAATTAGTTTTACATGTCTTTGAATTTTGTTTTGTGATGTTAATACTCCTAATTCATCTTAGGATATTTTGAACATGTTTGGTTCAGTTTCCAAGTACTTCAGCTTTTTAACATTATTCATATTTCATAAGTTTAAATTTTTCTCTTAAAAATTTATATTTTTAAACTTCTTTTTAATCTTTAAAATATCTTAAATAGTAAAAGTTCGAAAACTTCAAATCTAAACTTTTCATAAATTCCTT